CTTTATCTCACTGCCAACACGCTCAGGTCTCTAGTCACAGGAACGTATGGCTATAATCACGCAGCTTCCGTTGATCTGCAAATTTTACTATAAATCCAGAAGCTGAATTCAGGGATCGCCAAGTGAAGGAGTCTTCGTTCGTTAGACCCCCGAATCGGTGAGCTCGCTACAACATAGGCAGACACTGGTATCTCTCGACCTTGGCAGCCAGAACTAGGCTCTGGAAGTGTCTCCGGATGTACCGCAGAACTCGGCAGCTGGGGCCGAGCATTGCATTCGGGTGCTAACTAGGGATGGCCCCGGCTTGGGATTGTCGACATCGTGCAGATTCTCGCGGAAACATCCGGATGCTCGAGTCCGAAAAATCGAAAAGCGAGGCGAAAGCATCCAAGGCCCAGTTGCTGGCCATGAAAAGCCCAACTCCCCCTTGTTTTGCTGTTGCCCACCATTTTGCAGGGAGAATCCCGGGCGCGCTGTGAGGAACGAGGGAGTTATTCCCTGCAAAAGCCTTGCAAAGTGAACTGAGTCCCAGAAAGTTTCAGCAAGGGCAATGGACTTGGGCTTTACTGCTTCACGAGCCAAAGAAACACCAGATCTTCAAGCTGCTGCATGCTGCGGCGAGCCGAAACCTGTTCTTGAGGGTGACCTGTTCAAAATGGAAACCAAAGGGAGGCCGCCAAGAAATGCCCCTCTGATCCAATCAGTCGGACAAGGAAAGCGCGGAGCTCTATCGACAAGGGCAGCTTCCCTCGAGTATCAGGTTGAATCTTAGTTGAGTGGAACACCCATTGGTTTCGTCAAACATAAGAGACCCCGATTGAACGGTTTGGAGGGAAACCCACAAGCAAATCAACCATCTGGTTTCCTATGTCGTGACATGTCGGGACACGAGCATGTGCTTCCAACAAGCCAAGGGCTGAACCTGAAAATGCTGGATCGTCATGACCCGGCCGGACGAGCGTGGCATGTGGGCCAACTGGGTCACACTAAGGAACACCCAGTTCAAGACAATATCCACATAGGTGGCCTTTTGGAAAAATAGATGGCGTAAATGGAACACACCATCTAATTAATTAAACCAGGGCTCTCTACTTTTTAAGCAAACCAACCAAGAAGGACACCTATGAATATCCGTGAAACTTGTTTCCTTGACCTTTGGGGCCTGCACAAACATCCTGGAAGAACTCGTCGCTACGTGGACAGAGCATCCACGCTAAAGCATTGTGCCAGCGGCAACCTACCACCAAATCTCCAAGAGCCCTCGCCAGCATTACCCTGACTATTAAAGCCACCATCTGGCCATGAAAGGTTTAGATATTCCGGGCCTGTTTCTACCTTGGAGGCAGCTGGCAAAAACCCTCCTTTAGCCTTCGGTCGCTTGAAAAGGACATCAAGGGAAACCGAAGCCCAGTTTGTCTTAGTTTTCCCATGAGGCAAACCCATACGGATGTGGCTGAGACGGAATCCATAAAACGGTCCCTTGCCAACTGGAAACAAAAGCCAACACCTGCGCAACCCCAGCTCTTTAATTCTGAGCCAATGACATGAGTGTCAAAAAATTGTAGCATGAGCTACAAAGTCTACAGGCCTGGTGAGCGCCTGAAACCATCTGCCCGCGAACTTTGCCTTTCCGCAAGAAGATGTGGCAAGGGATGGCACTAGCCTAGATAGTCCTATCTGAAGGGGGTGGGACCCGCATGGACTACCAGGGGACATGTACTCGAAGGTGGCCAAGGATGCGGCGAGCGGTCCCACGACCTATCTGGGTCAATGAAACAAATTACAAACCGAAACAAAACACCCCAAAGGAACCGATTGCAAGCCAAACCCTTCGTCAGGTCGCTTTCACTTACATTTAAAGCAGCACGTGTCCGTTCGACCTGAAGCCAAGAAATAGACCCACTTCCTCGCTTGCCCAATCTAAGACTTCGCTGTCATTTGCCCAGCTGGTTTCTAGCAAAATCGGCCGAATGGCCAGGTGGGAAGCATGCGAAAGGCGGCTTGGCTTTGCCGCCCCTGCCGGAATTTCGTGCCAAGCTGCCACTAATGACTAAGAAGCACAAAAGGACCACGTGAACTCATGGATGTAGCTAACAAAACTTGGCGTGGTTTTCGGAGGGTAGGAAGCTAGTCAAAGGAAGCCAACCCCACTGGAACGAAACAAACCACACTGGGAGCCCTGGCAAATCATCCAGCAGCGAATTTTGTGGGCCGGCTGCCCACTATTTGGAGCGCCCAAATCCACGTGCTTGAACCACATTGGCTCATCCTCCCAAGTCCAGAAATCGATTGCCGTGAGGCCGTCGTCTGTCAGCCTTGATCGGCCGCCAACATGGTTCCAAACCCCGACTAAGCGTCACCCTAGCGTCACCGCGGCACATCATCGCATGCGAATGCCTTGCTAACTTTCTGGCAGGCGGCATGTCCTGCAAGCCGGACAAGTGAGTCGAGCCATGGATGTTTCTAGGAAAAAAAGGGCTGTGTGCAAGGGCTGTGTGCAAGGACGCTGCGCCACAGCCAAACTGCGTACCTGAGAGCTGCGAAGGCACAGCGCCAATGTTACCCTCCCACCAACTAAACATGGAACCTGACTTTCGACTTTTGGGGGGGTCCTGGTTTGGACCATGCTCTTTTAAAGGACCTTTTGCCAGGGTCCATGCTGATTTGGCCATGAATCAAAAGCCCGTACCCCCAGTAAGCATCCAAACCCCACTAAAAAAGACTAAAATGGGTGGTGCACCTACCCCAAAATGGTACCATTGGTGTTGACCCACGGCCATTTCATTGGTGGGAGGGTACCTTTTAACCGGACGTGAGACATCGTCACGGGCGCCGTCATGGCGATCTCATTTTAGGTGAACCCGCGCAGGTCGCCCTGGCATCCACGTAGACGTAGGAGCCTTCGTCCGACATGTTGGACGCCATGACGCCTGCGAGAATGGTATACTGTACCTAGGTCCTCCAGTAGAGTTAGAATAAGGGTACCCTTTTTTCTATAGTCTATTTTCGTAGGGGAACCGTCCCCCAAAAAAGGGCAAAAGGGCACTACTAGGTGCCGTTTTTGGAGCCGTTTTCAAGGAAAATCCAAGGGGAGCCACCCGCTGGAGGGCGCTGCAAAAATGTAAGGGAGACAGGTTGGGGTTAAGTGCTGCTTCCCGAATCCTCCCCAAACAAAACGGGCTAGCAAATGCGCAGGGATGCGGAGGGGGGGTCCACAAGAAGGGGGTGCTTGCTAAGGCATTTTTTGGTGGTGACGAGAAGGGAACTAACAATTCTGGTTGCCCTACAGATTTGGTTCAATTTGCGGAGCCACTTTTGCTGGTCATCGATTGGCCTGCCAGTGACGCCAACAGCAGGAAGGCCGCGCCGGACATCGCGTAGGGGCCGTCCAGGGTCTCGCCTGGCGAAAGTGGTTTGCGACCAAGGCTACGAGTTGAACAACACTGGGCTGCCCGTTTTCTGATCCCCCGCTAAAAGTGACTCACGTTTAGTGGGTTCAATGGAAACTACCACTAAACACTAAAAGGCTAAAAAGCTAAGGAACCGGATGGCTGGGAGCCACCAAGAACATGTTTTGTTGAGAAAACAACATGTTCAATAGATAATAGTGGTAGGTCCCCTGTAGATTCAACCGGGGACTACAGCACAAACAAGATCCTTAAGCAGGCGGAAGAGGTAGTATGATGTTTATAGGGTGTGTCAGGCTCTATGGGAACAGGCTCTTGGGTGCGTAAGCCCTTCTGGCGGGCCAACAACGCCATCAGGCCCTCAGAGCACTTTGTAAGGGCCAAAGGCCACTCGCAAGCGGAGTGCTCAGTGGAATCAACCAGGCAAAGAGCTGATCCAAGGCAAGATTGCCCTGGCGACAGTTCATCCTGAATAAGAAACAACCCCCTACGAACAAGTCGCCATCGCGTCCGGCAACCGAGGTCGTTTTGCCTGGAAGTGGGGCTGCCACACGTCTACCGGAGGATGGATGCTGTTCGTGACCTCTGCTGTTTGAAGAAAACACTTTATGCTGTTTGCTTCACTTTTCAGTCACCAGCACAACGTACAGTGTATCACCCAGCTCGACAAAGGTCTGTTCTCCATGCTGAGGTCTGTTGGCTCTGCTTTCCAGTCCTACTTTTCCCTCACCCCGACCCGCTGCACCTAGCCAAACGTATGCGAAGATGGCGCCCCAGACTGGCTCGAGGGCATAAATCAGGGCGGCCTCAGTCAGCCCAGACAACAATGCGCCAGCCATTGGACATTTCAGGCGTGATTGATAGGGCACCCCACTCAAAGGATGGCAGACCGTTGGTCTGGACCAAAGCGGGGGCAAGCATGGAGCGCATCCTGATGGGCAATTCCATCGGCTGGAGGGCTTTCTCACCTGCTCCGGGAACTGGGGGCCTGATGTTTAAAGCATCTCTGCTCAAGATCTCTTGAAGTTGAGATATCTCCTGCAAAACAGGATCTCTTGACAGGATCTCAGGATCTGTTGGCAAGATTTGTGCACAGAGAATCATTGACAGGGAGTTTCCCTACGAAGGACCAGCGCAAATTATCTACACACTTTCGATACTCCACATTAGCACCGCGACGCCAGAGAACAGGCTCGCGCAAAGGCTCGCGCAACAGTTCCCTTCTGGGATGTTCATGTGCATTTGGACGGCACAAGCTCGCGCAAAGTGGTTGGCTGGGTTTGGCATGCCGTGCAAAGTCGAAAATGCCTGATTGGCGAGCCCTGCGGTCTTTGGGCTTTGGGTGTGCCGGATCGCTCTGGCTGCAGCGCGGTGAGATTTTGTCTAGCATCAAAGTCAACCCTCTGCAGACTTTAGGTGTGTTGAATCTCTGTCGCTGTTGGAGCATGCACATTTGACCGCCTGCGGACTTTGGGTCATTTCAAGATGACTTTGTGCGTAAAAAGCACGAAGCAAAAAGACATCAGGCCCAGAGCCAGCACCCTCATCTCCAGACAAACTGTTCAGTTTGGTCAAAAAAGACACACCCATTCAAAAAGAACACACACACACACACTTGTCACCCAATCCTGCTATGCAGGATGGTCAATAAGCCACAAGTTAATAAGCCGCAAGCCGCATACCCATGTTTGTTATTAAAAAAACACTCACACACACACACACAAATAGGGGGCCTTTCGCATTCTCCCGAGACCGCGCGGCCACCGTGGCGTCCACCTCCCGCAGCGCCTTGGACTCCGCCCAAATGCAGAAGCCGGTAGTCACCACGCCCACCGCCAAGATCTTCGCCCACTCGCCTGGCGCAGACGCAGCAAGTTTTTTGCACTCGAGGCATCGAGGGCTCGGTTTGGCCGTTTGGGGAAAGACCCGGCCGACGATGCATTTGGGGGGCGAGAGAGAGAGAGAGAGAGAGAGAGAACAATAAATAAAAAATAAAGGGGGGATGTAAGATGTACTCCCTGAAAAAGACACGACTGCTGTCTTGAACTCGCCAACCTTGACTCACTGAGCTCGCTCTCAACAAGTCGTTTGGGTTGGTCAACTCAAGTGTGAGGCTCAGGAACCTCTGCACATGGGAAAGCCCACTCCGCGTCTCCCCGCTTGAGCCAAACGACATTTGCAAGCGGGGTCCGTCATGTTCAAGAAGATCACGCAACTGTCAGCCTCCGGCAGCAAGACAGAAACTCGGGCCCTTCACGACTTCTAGAGCTTGATTGGGATGTGTTCTATTTTGAAAGAGCATCAGAAATGTCAACCGTTTCAATCAAATTTCCGCAAGACCAGGACCCTACATTACATCCCAGCGTCTCTTGTGTGCCCCTGAAATGGAGCCAGTCGAATGCTTGAACTTGTTGACACCCTTGAACGGATCTTCCCGAAATTCCCTGAAAATACTGCGATCTGGGCTGTCTTGCTTCAGGACTTGCTTTCTTACCGCAACTCCATGGGCCCTAAAACACGGCCTCTCCTTCATATTAGTCTTCCCTGCAAATGGACCAGTTGTTGAACCACGGAAATTCCCGGAGGCACCGATTTTGCAAGAGGGGTTGGAAACTGGGGCCCAAGCGGTGGGCCCAACCAACGGGCGGGCTTTACAACCCTTTGTGGCATTTTGCTTGGATGCTAGGACTTAAACTTTTTGTCAACTAATGGGTTGTTCCATTAAACCACTAAAAGTTAGTCACTTTTCGCAGGGGAGCAGGCAGCAACCAAAAAATCCAATGTGTGGCGCTTCCACCCAGCCCTTTCGGTTTCGGCCTGCGGGGAAGGCCGACACGGTCCGCAGCGCGCTCGGCAGGCTGTGGCCCTCCGCGAAGAAGCAAAGCCAGGAGAAGCCTCTGAAGGCTTCGGATGGAAAAGGACTGCCCCAAATTAAGGCTTAGACGGGAAACCAGGCGACGGATTTAGGTTGTTTCTTTTTGGTGGGGGGGTTGATGGTTGAGGACGGTGGCTGGTGTTTTTTTGAAGTGCAGTCGCGAAATTCGCATGGAGATCTGTCAGGACCGGGGAAACACCCTTGGTGGAAAATGGCGAAGTGCAAGAGAACAAAGCACCTGTCACCTGGATGTGTTTGTTTTTTGAGACACCTAGCGCCAATCTCTGCGCGTTCAAACGTTCAACGTGGCGTGGGATTGAAATCGGAAAACGAAGGCTGCCTGCCTCTTTGCATGTGATGTTTTTGGTGTATCGCTTGAACTATGGCACGGCGTCTGTGACCGAAATCCGGACAGGGGTCAGCCCTCCCAGTTCGAGCCTTCCTCCAAAGAACAGCAGGGACAAAAAAAACAGAGGACACCTATCCCCAAAACACAAAGTAAGCGAAGGGCCGGCCCTGGCGTGACTTTCCATCATAAAAAAGGGATCGTTCCATGCGAGAAGCGGTGGAAAATGGAGAAACGTTAGTAGCCCAAGCCAACCTTGGAAGTTGGCCCCTGCAACCCCTGAAGCCCCCTTGTCCGAGGGGCACGAGACCAGCGCCAGCTGCAGGCAAGTCAAGGGCGCCACCTGCCAACAGGGTTGCCCCAAGGGTGATGAAACCTCGGTTGCTTTCTGCTCCCCTGCTAAAAGTTTAACTTTTAGTGCTTTAATGGAAAACTCACTAGTTGGCAAAAAGTTAAAGTCCTATCATCCAAGCAAAATGCACCAACAAAACAGTGGTATCCTCTTGTCGCGCTTGTGCCACATCTCTTCCTGCAACCCTCTCGGACAAGCATCAACCCTGCAGTCATACTTGGATTGCAGGGAGCAAGCGCATATTTGATGGCTCTGTGGCCCGCTGGGACGCGTAGAAGAGGTTTCATATGAATAGGTTCACACATTCAGCCTAGTGAGAGCTTGGGGCGGATGAAAACACGGCGGGCCACCGGGCAACGGCAAATGGCTGTTGGCACAGTGAACATCCCGATCCCCACTACAATAGACTCTATAAAATGGATGGTGGACCGAAAACCCCAAAATGGGATCCCAAAACGGCTTTGACAACAGCCAAATAGCTCCCCATGGCTTCGTGGGCAAAGCAGCTTGAGCACCTCATTCTCCGGCACCAGGCGGATCAACCGCTCACAGCGCCAGATCTGCACCGCGAACAGCGCCGCGCTGCCCATCTCCAAGACGTCGCCTGAAAGTCGCGCGCGGCGTCGCGCACGTCTCGCGAGAATGTCAACAAAATAGTGAGATAAAATAAAAATGCATGTTTAAAAAAAAATAATTAAAAAAAAAAAAAAAAAAAAAAAAAAACGAAAAAACAAAACAACAACAACAACACAAACAAGGGAAACACGCAAAAAACACGTCCTCCCCTTTTGCCCCCCCTCCCTCCCCCACCAACCAGCCACCTGTCCCGGTTGGCTCCGAGCCGATCCGAGCCGAGGCCCAGGCCCCGGCTGACGAGATCCCCGGAGATGGCTTTGGGCCCCACGAAGAGCGCCGTGCCCACCATGGCGAGGCACACCTGGGGGAGAAGAAGACAAAACGCCAACTTGGGGCCGTTTGCCCCGTCTCACTCGGGTTCTTGATTACTCCACGCGTTTCTTTTTTTGAAGAAGAATGAATGCGCATGTGGCTGAGTCAAAAATAGGTACCCCAAATGGCTTATACCCACATGGGCGTCTTTCCAAAGAACAGTTTGCACTGGGAGACATGACGAGACATGCTGGCAACACGCAAAGGTAAAAGGGTTGCTTTTTAAGCTTGGCGACATAGAGAGGGGGCGAGGAGGGGCAGGCTGTCCCCACTTTAAATGGTGGTGGGGTGATCAAAGGGTCCGGGTCCTTTCAGCCACTCCTCTTTGAAAGGGACCAACTTGTTGGCAACTGGCAAAGCCTGCACTCCATATCTAGGCTGGCATTAGGACCCCAGTAAATATATTTATATATATATATATCTTTTGCCTGGTTGTCGGAAAACAAAGGGAACCCAAAAAAGCAAAAACAAAAAACAAAAAACAAAACAAATGTTAATTATGGGGAAGATATAATACTCAAGCTCCAGGAGCTGGCATTCATGACTTGTTTGGTCGCTGATTTTTCGGATCATCTGCTAGCTCGTCCCGATAATCGAGATCCACAACTTCTGATGATCCGAGATAAAGCGCTACCGGCAGGTGCTGGGGTTTGGCCACCCACAATTTGATGGAACCTCAACCTGTCAATGCCGCAATCCCTTGCGTTTTCTCCCCTCCACCCATCTCTTTCAGCACTTCTCAGAAGGAAACAACAAACCCTAAGCGCAACAGAATGGCGGAAAAAGCGGAAAGGTGGGCAGAAGAGCGGGAAGAAGACCGGAGCCAAGATCTGAGAAGAAGCGGCAAGAGAAACGCAGCTCCCATCTCACCCACCCTCCATCCCAGCACTTCTCAGAGAATCAACAAGGAAAACTCCTGCCGCCCTCGACCCGTGACTCACCCGTCAACGTCAAGGCTCCGAGCCCCAGGTCAGCCGGTCTATGTGGCGCCCGTCCAGCAAGCTGAGCAGCGGCACCAGCCTCCAATGTGAAGGCTACATTGGAGTCCGTGGCTTCGGTTTCCCTTTTGCACTGAGAACAAAATGCACCCACACACACACACACACCTACAAAGCTTTGCTATGGTTGAGGCTTCGATCTCAGATTCAGGCCGCTATTCAGTCCCTAAACCTGAAAAACCGCAAGGGCGCTCTAAATGGAAAGTTTCCTTTTTCGAATGCTTGTGGTTAAGATTAAAACCGAAGGTCCAAAACTTTGAGACACACACACACAAAAGTCATAGCCCTTAATGGTCCTCAATGGCCCCAGAAAAAGTAATGGCCCTTCCGCCTCTGCGATTGTAGCTCCACATGAGTCCATGGGAGGTTTTTTTGAGGGTTCCCTCGAGGTTAATTTTTCTTTAAAGCGGACCCAAGGAAGGCCACTAAGGTGTGTCCCAAATTTGACACATCCGGCAAATCGACCGAAAAAGTTGTTCTCCCTTAAAGGAACACCACGCAGCAAGCAAAGAATGTTGAACATATGATGCGTTTAAGGAGCAAGCATTCAAAGAAAAAGTGTTCTAGCAAGGCCGTTGCAACGTCAGGCCCAAAAACGGTTGCTCACTTGCTGAGTTGACTGGCCCGAGCGAAAGTTGAACAAAAGCGTGGCCCTATACCCGCAACTCCCACATGCCCCTTGAACCACGGCTGCGCAAAAACATACTGAAAGCTGATCACACGTCGAGTAACCCATACTCAACCGCGCGCCGGGGGGACATCAGCCAAGGCGCACAATGGTCAAACTGCCCAGCAGAGCTCCGCTGGAGGCGGAAGTGTATTGCAGGCCCACCGCCTGCGTCGCGAAGCCCAGGAAGAGCCACACCTTGCCGAAGAAACATTCCGGTGAATCAACGAGTCTGGGTCTCTGGACATGCACTGACCCTCACCTTGTTGGGGTGTTGGTGGGGGTGTTGTTGGGGAGTTGTTCGGGGCGGGGGGTTGTTGAGGCGGTGAATCCGTGTCAGTTTGTCATGCTGTTGCAGAACAGCGACCCCCGTTTGATGGGACCCTTCGCACGCTTCCGGGGAAAAG